ATTTTTATTCCATATCACCGTGGGAATAAACGATGACAATAGGATATACGGATCTTAGTGTGAAATGAGAAAACGTCAAATATTATTCAACAAGTCTCCAAGAGGCTAACGTTGCGGCATTTCAGATAATGTGAAATGAGAAAACGTCAAATATTATTCAACAAGTCTCCAAGAGGCTAACGTTGCGGCATTTCAGATAAGTTTTCTTTTCCCTATAAGTTTCAAATTGCACTAAATAAAAAACAATTGCTTTTTGGATTTTTATTATATTACATTTTTTAGATATTAAATGGTTTAAGGTAATAATCTATAATAAATGCATTATCATGCACAAAAGGTTTTCATAGCAATACGCTACGGACTAAACCCACTCTCTGACAAACTCTATTGGCTGAACTATGTCGCAAAGACGAAAGACGACATTTGAGAAGATCTGCAAGCCAAGTCAGGCTAAGATACGGAAAATATTCAATTCTTCGTCGGTCTTCTGATAGATGTGATTGTCGGAATTATCTATAAGGATAGCACAATTGTTGCGACATCTCCAGGAGGAAAAAAAGGAAGATAAAACTGGTGCAAAAATTCAGCCAAAAAGAACAAGTCTATTGATATGTGGTATAATAAGTTAAAAATGGAGGACTTATGCGCTACTTTGATATATAAAGCTTTAGGCCCATATTCAGAACGCTTTCAATGATATTAGCTAAAGGCTTAAACACAATAAGCAATAGGCACAAGAAACAGGGAATAACGAGCTGTCCAATCAGAGATCTAAGATATAATATCGAACTTACACACCAGAGCTCTGATTGGACGGTTCATTATTCCCTGTTGCTTGGGCCTATTGTATTTAAGTCTTAAAACGTTGGAAATGTCAATTATATAAAATTTTAACAAATTATGAGCGATTCATAGTCCGCTCTCATTTCAAGACAGTTTAAAGCAGCGTCTGCAATGAAATTTTAAGACATAAAATTTAGGAACCATACTCAGAATGCTCTTACAACATACTGTACATTACGCATATTATAGAATTTTAGAGATAAAAGCGCGTTCTGAATACGGACCATGAATTTTAGCCTGAATTTACAATAGATTTTCAAAGTCATAAGAAATATTAGGTGTACAACTTTGCTTCCGCCGTTTTTTTTCCGAAATTCGAGGCTTTATTGTGTGTAAAAAACTGGTTATACATTTATGATTCAAAGTATTGTTCATCGCTGACCACTACTTTCTCCCATCTTTCGGGGAGCGTACGAATCTCGCGTCGAAAAAACTGGTCATCTTTTGAGGCTATCCACGAATCGATCCAATTTTTTACTTCTTCATAAGACCGGAAGTGCTGGTCAGCCAGGCCGTGTGCCATTGATCGAAACAAGTGATAGTCAGAGGGAGCAACGTCTGGAGAATACGGCGGGTGATGTAAGATTTCCCATTTCAACGTTTCCAAGTATGTCTTGACCACTTTCGCAACATGGGGTCGAGCTTTGTCATGCTGCAAAATCACTTTATCGTGTCTCTCGTTGTATTGCGGCCGTTTGTCTTTCAATGCTCGACTCAA